GATAGTGCTGAACTTGAAAGAAGCATACTAATGAATATAACTTGCGATCCTGGAGTTGGATAGCTTTGGGATTGAAGTTCAATCACAAGTTGCACTTGATTGATAAATCCTCGAAACTTGGATCTAGTGCCATCAAACTTCTGAGGTAGGACGATTCTTGGTTCTCTAACATTGGTAGGACATTCCACCATAGGAGAAAGGACATGATTTGGTGTACATGTTGAAGCAGCTCCAACCATTTCTATATCTTCACTTCTTGCCAATCTTGTTGCTCCTTGTGGTGGTAAATTGAATTGATGCATTGCAAGCATTAACTCCCTCAATTGCTCCTTCATTTGTGCCATTGCATTCTTCATTTCAACAAGTTCTGCCATAATAACACTTAGAAAAGAGAAGGTGTCTAATATTGCTCAAGATAAATAGAAGAGAGAACTTGAGAACAAAGAAAATACTAAGGACAATATCAGTTTAGAAGAGGGTAATCCGCAACTTCTAATATGCTTATATCTTATCAAGAAAAAGGGATAATCTACTCTTAATCAAGATTAGACAAAGCTCTGATATTGTAGGTGTACTCTTGTCAGTCTATCAAGGACAAGAACTCGATGAAAAAACAACTCCGACAACTGAGCCTTCACTCAAAGAAAGGTAACAAAATATAAATCAACAAGTATGTGTATTGAAAGAGAAACTAGAATGGCTATTGCCAAAAGACAAGAAAACTAGAGACCCTTGAAACTAAACTGGAAGCAAGAAAGGAGTTGACAAGAGTGAAGAAGCCTTCACTCTTGTCTCTATATATACTATCTAACTAGGGGCTACATGGCGACCTTCTATAGGACCTCTAATATGTGTTGACTTTGTAGGACACATGCCTTGACTTACAAGGCAAGTTTTTCTACATATGGACTACATAGTTAGTTTGATCTTTAAGGTAACAACATGTGTGGCACATGGCCAACTTGTTGACCACGTTTCTAATCCAAAAAGTTAATTAAAGACACCTATGAAGTCAAAGCAGCATCTATCAAGCTTTTAGGAAGCTTCCATATTAAATACTATAGAATTAACTTACTTTTACCTACTTTTACTTACTTCCACCTATTTGTATTTGTAATTACTAGCTTACATGAGTATGTCCGTGACACTCTTGGAGACATGCCTCATTTGACAAAGGACATCACCATAAGAAATACATGTATTCTTTGTATCCAAAAAAGATGGTGGATTTTGCATGTGCATTAATTATTGAGGTTTCAATAAGCAAACTATTAAAAATGCATATCCACTTTGATACGTGGATGATCTTCTTGACCAACTTCAAGGTGCGACCATCTTTAGTAAATTGGATCTTTGGAGTGACTATTCGCAAACACCTATTACAAGAAAGGATGTGAAAAAGATGACATTTTCTGTGCGCTATGGATGTTTTGAATGGTTGGTTTTAGCTTTTGGCCTCACCAATGCTTCAGCCTCTTTCATGGATCACACGGACAAAGTGTTTTGTGATCTTTTAGACAAGTATGTAATTGTCTTTAATGATGATATCTTCATATATAATAAAATTTCTAAAGAGTATGAGTAATACATATGATAAGTGTTGCGCCAACTACAAGATAATTGCTTCTATTATAAGCAATCAAAATGTAAACTTTGGAAGTCAAAAGTCACTTTTTTGAGGCATGTAGTATCCTCAAAAGGCATGCGTATAGAACAAGATAAAATGAAAGTAGTGGAAGATTGGCCAACTACCAAAGATGCTTATAAAATCTGCTCATTTTTAAGCCTTAGTGGATATTATTGCTATTTTATTCGACAATTTGCTCACATTATTGCCTTATTGACAAACCTATTAGAGAAAGGTGCTTTATATGAATGGAAATTAGAACAACAAAGCACCTTGGATAAGTTGAAGGAGGCTCTCATTACTGCTCCAATATTAAAACTATATGATCTTAACCTTCCTTGTATGCTTAACAATGATGCTTCCGACTTTGCTATTGGAACAGCCTTTTAATAAGACTTTAGTAAGGGGCTTCAACTTGTGGCATATGAATCACACAAGTTTAGAAGGGTAGAATGCAATTATTCTACACATAATCGAGAATAATTAGTGATTATACGAGCGACAAAGGTGTGGCAATACTATTTATTGGAGAAGATAGAAGTTGTTTGGATTAAGCATGGATCCTTGCCATACAATTTGCATATGGAAAATATGAAATCACGACATCATCGTTGAAAATAATTATTGCAACTTTTTGATATCTAGCTTGAGTATAAGCAAGGGCGACAATATACTATGTTAGACAGCCTATCATAGAGACCAAACTTCAAGGACAAAATGAGAGACATGGCAGAAGTTACTACTATTAGTAGTGTCATTTCAAATCTAACCAAAGAGACATAATGGAAGAAAGCTATGCATCACGATGCTTATTTAAAGATAGTTAGTAATTGGCTAAAGATGAACAATATACAATATTAAGATTACACTCTTAGTAATGGCTTACTCTATTTCAAGAAGTGGATTTGTATACCCGATAATGCTAAATTTTGGATGTGCATACTTCAAAAGGGATATGACATCCTAATATATAGACATTTGGGATGAGAAAAGATTCTAGAATATTTTCTCAAGGATATGATTTTAGGTAGATTTGGATCATGATGTTTGAGCCTTTGTATGCTTTTGCGAGTCAAATCAACGTAATGAAGCATACAACACAATGTCTCTTAGACTATTGCATCCAATTTTGCTATTTACAACATGTTGAGAGCAGATGACTATAGATCTTATTACATATTTGTCATAGAGACTTCATAATCATATTGCGATTGTGGTTTTTGTGGATTAACTCTTGAAGCAACTTCACTTAGTTGTGGTGCGCTCAAATATTAATGCTTAGTACTTCCATGGATTTTCTTTAATCTCGTCTTTTATCACCATGGATTAACTTGTGTCATTGTTTCAAATCGAGATCCATGTTTTATAAAAAATAAATAAATAAATAAAATAGCAAGACTATTCAAGCTACAATATACACAACTTGTCATATCTACAGCCTTCCTTTTCTAAACAAATGGAGAAACAAAGCATACAAATCGGACCTTAGAAGATATGTTGTGGGCATTTGTGGTAGTTCATCATAATGATTGGGATGAATATTTGATGCCTTTGGATTTTGCTTGCAATGATAGAATTCAAGAAAGTACTTGTCATTCACTATTTTTCTTTAATATCGATCAATATCCGATTATGCCAACAATTCTCTATCATCCCATCGATACCAACAACCTAACAATGGAAGAATTTATACAACGGCTTACAACGACCTTATAAGAGGTACAATACTGCCATCTTACTGCGTAATATCAATAAAAGTACTATACAGATAATTATCGACAATACAAGACCTTTTGGAAAGGTAAACAAGTATTATTCTCCAACGCCAACTTGTCACTTGCTACATCAATCCAAATTCGTAAACTAGCACCTTAGTGGCTTGGATCTTTTCACATTTGTGTAGTGATTTCTAATGTTGCATACCACCTTGAGTTTTTGCCACATATTTGGGCCCATCCAATCTCTCATATTTTGCAATTGAAGGAATTTCATACTGAGCCAAAGCGCTTTCCAAATCGACACCAACCACCACTATTACTAGTTGTAGTTGATTACCAACAAGAATATGAAGTGGATAACATTTTGAAATATTGTTGCTTTTGTTGTGGCAATGAATGTCCACAACTTCAAAACAAAGTTCTTTGAAAAGGTTATCCCATTCACGATGCAACGTGGGAACCTGCATAAAATCTCACCCATTGTCAAGAGATAATTCAAAGATATCATTGGGATCAAAATGAGGATGTTTCACATTATTGGAGGAAAAATAACTATAATAGGGTATATATAAGATATTTCTGTAGGAATAGATAGTTAGAACCATGGAAGTTTTTAGAATTGGGATTAGGTTAGTGGACCAAGTAGGACCTATTGTAAAACATTCTAGAAAGAATTTGGGCGGTTATTTAGATAGGGCCCACCATAGAACCTTTTGAAAAAGGCTTGAGGTGGTTATCTAAGTAGGATCCACTATCTAGGAATATTCTAAAAAGTCCAGGGTGATAGAACAAAGTATAAATAGGGGTGGCTAAGACCTTTTGGAGCATCTGGTCAAATATGGCTTTGAACCTTCTCTCTTAATAAAATTTGGTTTTGCATCTTTCTATTTGATTGTGTTTTATTCTATTTTCATTTGCTCAATCTTATCTTCCATGTCCCATTGTGTTTAGTTTTGTTCACTTTTATTCTGGTTTAGTTTGTCGTATATTATGATGAGGTTTTATATTGTGGTAGATTGAAAGAGACTTTGACACTTGAGGTAGACTGGTCCTGTTTTACTTAGTCTTATTTCAAGTCTTTTTAATTTATTGTTATGTTTATAAGAATAAAGACATCTACAATCTAACATTGATGACTATTTATTCCTACAAGGTTTTTATTTTATATTATATTATTATTATTATAAATATAAATATATATATATATATTACAAGCAATACGTTAACTTTATAAAATATGCTTTTAATAAAGTTTACATCTAAAAAGCGTAGACTAAAATTTTGAATAATAAATTATTAGTTCTATTCTAAACTGTATGTTGTATGATTTAAATAGTAATGGAATAATGGATGCATTTGTAAAAATAAATTATCTTCATGGCCAATCAATCACATGCTACTGTTATGTGTCAAATCATGTAGGCCACATCGACTCCATTTAGTGGCACAAAAATGAAGCCAATAATACCATTTTGATTTGATTGTCCCAAATTAGTAAGGCCATAACATGTTGAATGTCTTGAACATAAAATATATACAATAGTTTGACTGGACGTACCAAAACATGTTAGTCATTGAGATTCGAGACAAAAGTAATTTTGAAAAAGATAAAGGCGGGAAAGGGCGACGCGGTCCGCGGGACGACTGGACCTGGGACTAGGGTTTCAGTATTTAGTCAGTTGTCTCTCAGAGCTGGGTAGTCTGTCAATCTCAGAACTTTGCCGATCTTTCGCGAGTGGGAGCTGGATTCGTAGGAGAGCTGGTTTGCATATACGACCGAACGGAATGTTATTGCGGCCTGGAAGCTTGATGATGGTGGGTTTTCTCCGTCTGGCTAACTAGGCTTATGTCTTTGTTTGCCCGGTTAGAGGGTTTGTTTAGAGGGTTTGGAGCCCAGGGTCCGAGGATGCAGTCGGGTGTAATTCTTGTGGATTTTGTTGAGATCTGGCAGTGTAAGAGGGTTGACATGTGTTGATGTTCTTTCCTCCCATTTCAGGTGCCAAGACTTGTGCAGTCTGGAGTTGGATGGCGATGAAGCTTCCGTTGATCAAAGCCGTCAAGAACCTAAATATGAAGCCCGAGTTCTGTGAACTCAAACTTGGTTCAACTGGTGGTAAGTCTACAACCATAACGAGCCAGTGCAATCTTCATGTTAACGAAACCCTTAGGAAGTGCGTTCAACTGTAGCTGTTTCACCCAACATTCGCAGCTATCCTCTCTGTCTTCATCTCCACAACATATCGTATCGTACTACATCACCAACTGTGCGACTTGTAGCCCTCATCATTAATCTACTCTTTCATTTTTGTACTTACCGGTGACTCTTTTGATGTACTACCGCATATAACCACTCATGTTATTCTGTTTCTTTTGAGGCAGGAAGGAGGCATTGAGAAGGATCACTCGCGTCCTTCTCACGGCCACGGTCACAGTAGCTTTAAATCATATGTCCACCAAGTAGATGCTGCGATCATTACGCATGTTCGGATAGTGGTTACCTTTGATCAGGGAGTTAATCCACTCAACATTTGACTCCGGTAAGTTAGGCGAACTTGTTCCTACCCCACTACACGAATTCGGGGAACTGGCATGTATTCTTAGATCTTTAGTAAACATACATTTTTGTATTTCTGCACCTAGAGGCATCTTCTAGTATTGAGTATTCTATTAATCCACTCTTTTAAGCATTCACCTAAAATTTGCATGTCATACAAGGTAGAAATGTGGTTCCACTCTGATCTGAATGATCTTACTCCCAAAGTTGGCGAATTCTATTTCTGAACTAGTTTGATGGTTTGTTCTTCATCTTTACTAACGACTCCTACCGTGTAGTTTCAGTAACCGGAATTCAACACAAGCGCATACAGTAATACTCCCCGGGTGCAGGTTGAGGAAGGATTTGAGTTTTATGACGAATCGAACCTTGATGTCGCTAAAGAAGCTATCAAGAAACAATTCAGAGGCTGAAGTCAAAGACCTTGGAATGTCTGGTGCTGCACTCTCCACCCAAGACAGTACGTTTTTCTTACTTTTTCTAACACTGTAGTAAGCTATGCAGTAATCATTCTAATGCATATGCAGTAATCCTGGAAATTTCGAGTAGTATTTCTTCCTGCGTGGAATGAATAATTGTCCGATGATGAGATGCTTAACCACTCTGAAGTAAAATGATCTCACGGAGCTTCTTTCCCGGGTTTGTCGCATTCTACTTTTAGAGTCGATCCTTAGCACGGATCCCTGTGAACCAGGGCCTCCTGTCCCCCGGAGGTCTACTCTATTGCGTCAGACCTGGTAGGGAGTGTCTTTGAGGATCTACTTATGTGGAATTCTCGGCCAAACTGAGGACTAATAATTGCCATTTTAAATCTTTTTGCTGCTCGAATATAAGATTTAGAGCAGGTGGTCATTAGGGTAACAGTTTGCCGTTCAGCACAATGCTTCGATTTGAATGCATGTGCACTTTGTCTACGATAATATCTGCAGCGGTTGGTGATGAAAAGGTCGAAGAACAAAACATATCACCTTGATGTGTCTGGAGTTGACACGAAAGGGGAAGGTAGATTCCTGGTTGGAGATGTAAAGATGTCAATTACGCAGATGTCCGGTGATAAAAAGGATGTGGCTGCTAACACAACCTCCGGTCGCACTAGCTGGGGGCGGAATGTTGTTTCTGCTGATGCAACTCTTCTGACTCCAGCCGCAGATAAGAATTCGAATTTGCTCAAACAGTTTTAGGCGGAGGCTTATGAAGTCTGTCAAGGAGATGGGAAAGAGAAGGAAGAAGTTAAAACTACGACTCCGAGTAGCTTGTCCCTAAAACCTGTGGAGGATATCTTGTTTTGGAGCCTTTCTGTTGCGTTGAGATCATTTTTTTTCATGTCTCAATTTCGGCCTTGCTATTTGTTAGTGAGAAATTGCAAGGTGCAGAGAGAAATGTCTGACATGTTCCCCAGATTCTAGTCCTTCGCCTTGTATTTACTACCAGATTTTTGGACTCAATTTGTAACCCGTAAGTACTTTTCCAAGTAATTTTGACAATTCACGAGATCTGGCTTTATCGCACAATTTATTTATCCCCTGTGTGGTCGTTGGTATCTACCTCCTGTCAATTGCTGTCATTGTCGTTGCATCATGTACCTGGAACCTCTTACCCAGCAAGCAAGCTGTGGTTCAATTCAATTTCCATCTCGATCGACAGGTTCCTTAAACGAATATCCATCCCACCTTGCTGCCGTCTTTGGAAACCGTGCGTCTTCGTGTGCGGATAGGAAAGTATCCTACTGATTCTACAGTCCCCGTTGCGAACGCTCTCCGCGTCTCTAATGCGACGTGCCCACAATTAAATTCTTTTTCCCAATCAGAGAAATCAATGGTCTTAGCCGTGACGATACGGTTTGAATCCACTTCCTTGGGACAATTTGTCGTGAAAGCTTTCCGGATCATGTAGACCACATCCACTTTCATTGTGCTTCATTACTACATTGACACACATAAATTCTCGTCTAAACAATGGTAAGAAACTACACATACCTCAAATAGTATGTGGGTTAATAAACAAACAATTTAGTACCATCATGTGCAAAAATCATAGATATGAAAAAGCCATAAATATAAGTATATGTATATACATGAGACCCTTGTTACACAGTATATGTGCATCAAAAGAAAATTATTGATGTACAATGTCAATAACTGATTTTTTAAAATAAAAAACATCAGCATAAAAAATCGAATTTTACACCAGAATTTATTATTACGATTTTGTTATATATATATATATATATATATATATGTGTCCATACATATACATGTTTGTTTATTTGTTCAAATTAATTATATTTGATATTATTTATAAGCATCAAGATCAAAACATGCATCAATGGCAACAAACAATAGTACATGTATGCATCACCAACAAGCAACAATGTCAATGGTAGACAATGGTGCCAAGATCAATAGCATGTTGTAGGCACCACATCTATATCAAGGTCCCAAAGTGTATGAGTTTAAATTAGAGATTTCTATTTTTTCTTGATAAAAGACTATATCTATTTTTTCATTTTCCACATTTTGTAGATCAAAGTGTTCAAAGATTTGTTTTCTATAGAATAGAATTACCTTAAAAGATTCTTTAATATCTTTTAAAAATATTTATGACTAGGATAAGTTAAAAGATGCATGTTATCAAGTAAAAAATAAAAAATAAAAATTCAATTCACAAAATAGAGTTTATCCACATCCCTATATAATTATTATTTATATACAAATTTTCAATATTTTCTACTATACTTATTTAAGAAGAGAGCAATCAACTAAGAAACAATGGACAATATTTATTCTATGCTTTATAATACAAAAGACTATCAACATATCTTCATCTTATCACAAGACATAGAATTATATGCTATAATAGTACAACAAGAAATTAGATTAAAATTATTAAACAATCATGCTTAAAGACATCAACATTACATAATTGAGAACATAAGTTTTTTGTATTTGGTATAAAGAAAGACCAAGTCAATATATATATATTAGAGGAAAATATACTTATTTATATACAATTATTATTTTTTTATTTTTTTAATACTTTAAAATAAAACATAAAATTCAACTTATCTACTGGGATAAATAAACATTAGTAATTACTTCAAATACATAAATAGAAGAAGATGTGAGCATAATAAATAGATAACTAGTTGATTTAGTATTGACTCTGATTCTTTATATTATCTTTTTTTAGTTGTAGATTTAAAAAATCTAATTATGTAAACAAGAATGTCTTAAGTAAACTAGAAGTAAGTTAGAAGTAATTTAGAACTCAATTAAATTCAATCTAAATTGCCATATTTTTAATCTTTATTAGTGTTACAAATTTTGAAGGGTTAAGGCATGTAAGTAATCAATTCTTATTAAAAAATAAAATCTGCTTTAAAGACAATGGTAAAGTTAGAAGTTCAAAAAAACATTTCCAAGGCTCATTTAATAGCCATTGTGCTTGATCTTGGATTTTAACCCTTTGATCAATGAAGGCTATAGAACTTAGTTTGAGTTCTTTGGAATTCAAGTGTAGAGATGTTGCTATTACCTTTAAATCTTAAGACAAGAGTATAAGGTTTCATGGGCTTGTAAGATTTCTTCTTCATAAAACAGATTTTATTTATGAAAGGTCTCATGGACTTTTAAGGTTGGAACAATTTTTATTTATTTATTTATTTATTTTTGTTAATAGACAAAGCCATGCAAATTTCTCACTAGGTTTTTTAAGCGGCTTTGGTCTTCTTCAATTTCTCTTTTAGTTTTAGAATTATTTTTTGAAAATTTAAGAAGAATTAGTAATTTTTGTTTTAGTTTTCTATACATATAAATATTAATATTTGAAGTTTTATGAAGAAGAAACCTTGAATTTAGTAAAGAGTAATATTCTACCTTTATAGTTTGGTAGCTCAATTTTTGAAGGCTTTGATTCATTTTTTACAATGTAGAAAGCAATGAGAATTGTTACATTAGAGAAACAATGAAGACTAGTTTTTAAGAAGCTAAGAATTGATTACATTTGAGCCATCTTATAGTTGGAATGTTGCTTCTTGTCACAAAGGGTCTGCTAGTTCAAGTACTTAAAAGAAGACACAACTTTAGAAAAAAAAAAAGTTAAGAGGGCTATGACAACCTAAAGACTTAATTTTTGGAAGTAAGTTCTATTTAAAGTCAAAATTTTATTTAGCATAGATTTACCAAAGAGCAATTATAAACCAAGCGATAGCAATGAATTGTGTAGGAGGTTTGTTGTTTTGCCAAATTGGAGCATTAACTTCAAGAAGCAATACCGGAAGCATGCAAATAAATTTTAAGGTAAGTTTTAAAAGATAGATGCATTTTTTAGTTTATTTTTTTATGAAGACAAGTTGGATTCAATTTGAAGCTTGAAATCAACCATGGTACAACAATTTGTAAAGGTATATGCAATAATAGGTTTAGAAGAGCCTAATACTCTAATTCTTATTTGGATGATATTGTTAGTTCATTAGTTAATTACTATGGATGAGACTTACATAGAAGATTAGGAAAGAAGTAGAATTCAATTTGGTTAAATAATTAATAGATAGCATTTTTAGATAGGTATAATATTTGGATGAAGTTGTTAATTTAAATGTGATATAGTTTGTATCCAAAAACTTGAGATAACTTTTTTTTGCATGCATTAGATGAATGTGGATTAAATAAATGTAATTTTGATAGATGTATAAATCTTAATTAATTAATAAATTAGTAATTTAAATAAGACTATAATGCACAATAATTAATATAGAATTATTAAATAATATTAATTTATATGATAGAGTTTTGAAGGATTCAAATGGATGCATCTAATTTTTCTAACAACAGAAATGAAATAAATTAAATTAATCCAATAAAAATTTGGCCAAAAATAACTTATAAAATGGATAAAGCTATATTAATCTATTTATTAAAAATAAAAGTGAAGTCATTTAAAAGTAGTAAAACATCATATAGTCTAGAAAGAACTAACTAATCATTAAGATATTTTTTATTTAAATCAAAATATAACAACTATTACTTTATGGAATTTCTTCTTGAAATTTAATATATATAATAAAAAATATGAAATTTGAATTATTATTATTTAATATCAAAAGATATGCTTTTTATAAGAGATCAATTTTTTTTAAAAAATGTAGAATAAAAAAACAATGCTACTATGATTAGAATATGTTTAGAACAAACAATATACCTTTATTAAATTACTAAAGATCATTTTTAATCTTTACTAACTTTAATTCGAACTTAAATAGCAATAATAAGCTATAAAAATTATAAATATTATAACAAAAAGAAGTTTATTCAATTTTAAAGTCTTAATTATATGAAATGATTTTGGTAGAAAATAAATTTTAGTGACTAATGTACAAAAAAAAGTATTTAAATTGCATGAATTTATTGGTCATTTTATAAAATACGTAAAAATTAAAAAATCTTGAAAACTTTTATATATTCTAAAATTAGTTATAAAGCTAAATTGTAGATATTAATTTTTTTTGTTTCTAAATCTTTTTGTCTTTCAGAATAAAAACAATAAAAATATTTTAAAAAATAATTATAAAATAGAAAAAATTCTTGTAGAAATTAAAGCCATAGTTGTGTTTAATTAAAAAAAAAAAAGATGTAAAAATATAGAATAAAGGCATATGTCTTTATATCTCTTATATATTTTAATATTTAATAGGTAATTTGATATGGATTTTCTTGGATTAACTTTAATAAATTCAAATTTAAAAATATTATAAATATTATAAATATTAGTAATAAAAATATTTTTATGCAAAAAATTATTAATATTTTTGTAGAAATTTTATATATGGCTTCTTATACATGATTTTAAACAATTCAAATGTTTTCAAATAAATTTAATTATTGACTAGGTCAAATAATATTTTTTATAGTAAAAATATCCTTCCAAATAATCGGCTCTTTTCTTATATCAATTTTAATTATTTTTTTTTAAAAAAAAGAATAAATAGAGCTTTAAGAGTTTTAACTTAGTTTGATAATACTTTACACCTTCTATCATATTAAAGATTATGCTAATAATTTGATCAATATATTTAAAGAATAATGTACCTTCTGACTATCTTATAATATTAAAATTGATTTGGAATTTAAAAAACTCTCTTACTAGGTCATGAGGTTGTTAATTTTTTAAACCATATTCTCTAAATAAGAATAATTTTACTAAAAAAATGTTTTACAATAATGATTTCTTATTAAGTTAGAAAAATACATTAAAATCTATCTTCATATTTTTTTAAAATAATGCATTGAAAAATTGGAATATTTTATAAAAATCATAATTTGATATTTTTACAATTTTTTTGAGATACATGACAAATTTCTAGAAAGAAATCTAAGTTTTACAAAAAAATTAAATAAAATATAACGTATTATTAAGCTCCAACTCCAAATTTATTCAATTCCAATATTTTAAGTTAGATTAATTAAAATAATACTTTCAAATTGATTTTTTTATTTTAATATTATTAGAAAAAAA